ATTGTTGGATTCGATCCGAAATAATTTTTATTAAATGAATATTTGATCTGTAGTCTTTTTTTTTTTCTTTTAGGCTCTATTTGTTTGACCGTAATTTTTTTTTTTTTGTAAAATATTTTCTATGTAACAATTTTTCAAATAAAAATATTAGTCAACCTTCATGATTTCTTTAGTTTTTATTTTTCGGTATTTGACGAAAATTTTGAAAATATTTTTAAAAAAATATTAGTCAACCTTCATGACCAAAATTCACTAATGCTTGTCCTTCTTGACCAAAATTAGGAGACATATTCATCAAAATTACAAAATTAAATTTTAAGTTTTAATTAAAATTTTTATTTGAATTATTGATTATTCAATTTTTTTCTTACTATCAATTAGTCCAATTATTTTTATACCAACATTAATAATTATTTGACAAAAAAAAAAAAAAAAAAAATTAATCAATTAATTTTTTAAAAAATAATAACGAATCCGAAACAAATTTATCTATCATCAAATGCAACAAGTGGATTTTTTTTCTCCACTTTACGTTTAAATTATTTAAAGTTGAAATAAATTCTCCACTCAAGAATTGTAAATCAGGTGAAAATAGTTCACAATTTTAATTAACACTTAAAATTAGTTAAAGTTGATAAGATAATAGTACCTTCTTCGCATATGAGGTTTTATTTGGCAAGGTTAGTTTAATTTTTAAATTTGAAATATAAAATTTTTGCTAATATATGACGATGAATTGTTTCTGTTAGGGCTTTATACATATTTAGTGGTGTTAGGATGTTGGTAAAATGACACTACCAATCCTAAAATTCTTAATTTCTTTAATTTTAATAATTTGATAATATGATCAACCTTTCTCTTTAGTCTATTATTCTAAAAAGAGTTTTGTCCCACATTGGTTATTGATTGAAAAATTATTGAGTATATATGAATTGAGAGTTTTGTCTCACATCGATTATTGATTGAAAAATTATTGAGTATATATGAATTGAGTGGTACCACAACTTAATAACTTTTAAGTCTTATAGAAGAACATTCAGAAAGTTGTTATCACATATAACATTGATTAACTTTCTTTGTTTGTTTGGTTTCTAAACGCAGGCCTTTAATCAATATTTTTTGATACGTTCTTTGGTCTGATTTTCTGGTATATATGCATATCAGAGTAAAGTTCATTCAATGTTATTACATGATCGAGGGTCGAGCAAAGTCAGTTATTAATGATATGTTATTATTGATTCATATAAGGAGTGACTGTTTTGGTTAGATTTTTTTTTTTTTAGTTAAAGGGTAAGCTTCATTGAAGAAAGGAAGGAATGTTCAAGGATCCCCATCTAAGGGGAGAAACAACAAGCGAAAAAAGAGTACAATACAAATCTACAACCAACCTAAGCAGTGGCATGATCAAACCACCACAACTAATCTAAGCAGAAGCAGTAACAAACTGCTTTAAATATCAACCATAGGCCATGAACAAACTGCTCAGAAGAGCAACCATAATGCAAACTGACAACATTAATTAATCAAGCGAATGTGATATAGATTACTCTGATAGGCGCCATGAGTGTCCTCCTGCAAAAGCACAGCCTTCAAGGAAAAGTTTATATAAGTCTTCCATAGTCTCTTTCTGATAGAGCTCAGTCCCCTTCCTCAGTGCCATTGAAGCAAGCCTTTTTCTGATGCAGTCCTTAATAAGACAAATGATGTGTTGAGCATTGGTTGATTTATTCCTAAAGGCTCTGGCATTTCTTTCGATCCAAATGAAGTAAATAGCAGCAGACAGAAGGAGCTTGTGAGTAGTGAAGTATTTGTTACACCATGTAGTTAAGCACCATGAGATGAGATCAGCCCAGCAGTCAGGTCTGATGTAGAATCCGGCAACATTTTGAATGAATTCCCAAATAAGAATATTGAATTTGCACTTGAAGAATAAATGATCAATTGATTCCCAGTCAGACATGCAAAGATAGCAGGCATTGGTGTGGTGCTTGTGCTTCATTGGTTTGGTATCAAGAGTGTAGAGTCTCCCTTTGATTGCTAACCAAAGGATGTGACTATGCTTGGGAATGTGGTGCTTGAACCAAAGGAGGTTGTGCCAAGTGAACATCAGTGAGGGAGGGCTGAAGTAATCCATAGTGTGTCTTTGAGAGAATCCAATAGGAGGACTTGGTAACCATTCGATAAAGTCAGGTTGGAGGGATGGAGGCTGCAAGTTTTGGATTTGGGAGTTGAAGTAGTGTGACTGTAGGAATTGTATGTGTTGAAGGGAGGCTGGAACAACCCACTGAGAATTGTAAATTAGGCTATCCACTTTAATATTTGTGTCAAGTTGAAGAATTTCCATCTCAGAAAGGCCCAGCTGAGAACATAGAAGACCATTTGGTAACCAAAAATCAATCCACATCATAGTATCCATGCCTGCTCCAACTCTGTGCTTGATCAACCCTCTTGCCATGTTTCTAAGTTTGAGGAGCTTCCTCCAAAAGCCAGAACTGGTTGAGTTAGCTTTGATTGTCCAGAAACTTTTATTTTTGATAAGATACCTATAGATCCAGTCCACCCACAAGCTCCTTCCTTTAGTACAAATCTGCCAAATATGTTTAAGGTCTGAAACTTTATTGGTCATTTCAATACAGTCAAATCCAAGGCCACCATGTAGTTTAGGTCTACATATTGCAGTCCATGCAACCTTTGTGAAAGCTTTATTACTTCTGTTTTCTGTTGTTTTGGGGAAAAAATGTACAAAACTCTGTTTAGATCCTTGTTGAGTAATGTTACCATGCTTGATTGATTTTTTGTGCCACTCCAATAAATATTGTCTAGTAGAGTATTAAAGCTAACATATGTACCACATATATATATATGATTAATTCCTTAATATATAGGAGTACTAGTAGATGACTAAAACTAAAACCTTCAAAGTCTAGGTTTTTGAACCCAGATATATATAATTTGGAAAAGTCGTAGCAAAATATATATTTTTAATCATTTAAATAGATATATTTGTCTGTTGGGGAAACAGGCACAATCTGACATGGAAGCAGATATGCCTTATATTTATGTGTGGGTTGTTTGGGCAAGTAAAATCATACATATTAACGGTTTGAAACTCTTCATGGGACTTGCACATTTTTACAATCAGTTTTATAATATTCGTTTTTGTTCTTTAGTCAACACTACTTTCTTTCTGTAGTTTGTCATCAAACTAACAAATTTTTTAATTAATATTAATTTCAAGAGTCCTTTGTATTGGAATTTGCACTTAGAGAGCTTGTGTTTTACGTCTGCAATGTTTGCCAGAGCTATCTCAACCTTACTCCTGTTGTCACATTCATTCTTGCAAAAATTCTTTGGTACTTAATAATCTTAAACTTATTTTTTACCGTCTTTCTTTTTCTTCTTTTATTATTATATTCTTTTATTTTATTTCTTTGGCAGGTTAGAGACCTTAAAACTTAAAACAGCTAGGAAATTAAAAATAATTGGGATCATATTGAGCCCAATGAGTGTTGCGGTCTTCACTTTCTGTCACCGCGTGGAGATTAATATCGGGTCGATTAAATTTGACTTGCTCTCCCATGTAAATCATGAGACAGAAGAGAATCACAATTTGGTGTTGGGATTAGGTCTAGCTGTAGTGGCCACTCTGTGTTACGCAATCTCTTTGATACTTCAGGTAAATACTACCTTGTTTAAATAATATTATAAATAATATTTTGATTTATGAGACCATTCAAAGATTTGGTTGGACTTGGGTTCGTTTGAAGTTGGCTCACCCAAGTTTCATACTCTTGAGGAGCATAGGGCTTGAAATGGAGCAGGTACAAAGTCCATTTTTTGATGGGTTTAAATTTTGAAACCGAATTCAAATCGGGTCAAAATTTGAGTCGGTTCCCTTCTCGTGATCCAATATCTACTAGGGGACACGACCCCTCTCGAGCGCCGGGAGGATCTTACACTTTTTTAAGATTTAATATTTACACTTTTCACACTATACGGATACAGTCAATACAATAAATCTTAGAAATGAGTTTAAAAATAAATTCTCTCTAAATTTATCTAAAATTTAGCATTTTAATATCAACTATTAATATTGAGTAAGGTTTACATAGGATTTTTTTTTTTTTTTTCATTTTTTTTTGGGAAGTATTTTGGAATTATATGATTATAATAAGGTTATTTTGATATTTTACAATAAGGTCTTGAAGAATATTTTGGGCCTTAATAATAAATCTTAATGCATTTGTAATTAATTAAAAATAAAATTTAAAATAGACTATTTTGTTATTTAAGACTCCTAATTTTATTTTTGTGTATTTTTCACTGATACCATTCCTATTATTTATTTTTTAATTATTATTATTATTATTTTTTGTCAACTTGATGTGTCACAAAAATTTTGAATTATTTTTTTTTTAGAAGTGTTTGCGGTTGATTCATTAATAAAATGAGAAAAATGGAGAAGAAATGACATATACTGATGTTGCTGTGTAAAAAATATCTAGCAGTCTACCCTGCCATGTATGATGTGTAATTTTTTTTTTTTATGTTGAGTAGTCTGTTAAGAAACCATATCAGCATATTTTATTTCTCCTCTCTCTTTCTCATTCCATTAATTTTGTAAAAATTATTTGTCTAGTTAGTTGTTATTGAGGATATATTTTTATACAAAAGGTATAAAACAACTTTCCTAAAAATAAATTATCCAATTATGACCTAAGTCACACAGTTCAGGTGCACTTACCCAAAAGAATGTTTTAATAGACTACTGCTCTAAATATATACGTGCAAGTTATCCAAAAAAATATATATATACAAGCATACTCGGCTATTATTATTATTTTCAGGATGTTGGTTTATCTTTCCATATTTCCTTCATGTTACACGAGTGTTTGGTTTATCTTTCCGTATTTCCTTCTTGTTACATGAGTGTGTCCATATGTATATATACATACATACAAGTCTAATTTGTGAGCTTTTAAACCAAAGAAAAGATAACTACACTTCTTATTCCTGAAAGTTGATGCACAAGGAAGAAGTTTAAAGCTTCGGGAACACACTAAAAACATGATTCTAACATCGATCAGCAAGTCAATGTTTATTGATTGATCTTCCAAACCATTACAACTTGCGGTAATTTGTCACCTATTTTCGTTCTTCACTAACCAAACAGACCTCTAGAACGACAAGCTTCCAAATTTTCGGTTGTACTCCTCATATGCACCGATTTCATCCAAAGATACAGAGCGACTCACCTCCAGAAATGCACTCTCAAAGTCCTGCATAAAAAATTCAAGGAATCATAAATGATAAAAAAAAAAAAAAAAAACTAACAACTTGAATTGTATTCATACTAAGCTTCATTTCGTGGGCCTCTAGGCGTTCTTCTTCACGTGTGCTTAGAATTACCTCGAGATTTACTGGCCTCATATCTTCCTGTTTCAGCTTTGTAATATCTATGCCCTGTTTCAGAGCCTCTCTCAGTGGACCCATGGAGGCACCCTGCACTAGATTTTTCATATCTGATCCTGAATACCCTGGAACAAATGGGGGAAAATACATATATACATATATGAAACACAAAGGAAGTTTGAACAACACAAAATAAAAAAAAAGATAGCCTAAATGTTAGCTGTCAACGAAAGTCTGGGATAAAATAAATAAATAAATGGTTTCTCTACGAACTGTATAAAGCAGATACCTTCAGTTAACTCGCATATCTTATCAGTATCCTCCTTTGAAAGCTTAAATAACCCATCCTTTTCTAAGAGATTGCGGATGATCCATGACCTCGCATCTTCAGCTCCAAATAAAAATGGTTAACTACAGTCTGCAGATACATTCTTATTTGATAAAAGGCACAACATTTAAGTGGGTCTAAATTGTACCTGAAGAAGGGAGGGGAATGTATAGTCGCTTAGTCAGTCGCCTTCGTGCTGCCTCATCAAGTTCTTGGGGTCTATTTGTTGCTCCTGGTTAATAAACCAATGTGTTATACGATTGCAAATTCTGCTGTATGTATTCTTTGAAGTCACATCATTTGGGATCATCCACTACATGGTTTATAATATTTATTTGAATAATTCTTTACAGGATGAAAATTGATCGCCAACCAAAATTTAAACCATGTATGTAAAAATTTATTTTTATGATTTTGTATATAGATTTTCTTTCATCTGGAAAAAAAAATAAAGATTAAAAAAAAATATGACATGTAAAAATTAGTTTTGCCTACTGCAACTTCATTAGAGAGCAGAAATCTAGAAAAACATTTTAAGCTCGTCCAAAACTAGAGGTAGAAACACATCAATTCCTTCTTCTCAAACCCAAGGGCAACTACTCATATTTAGTGTCTTATTATAGAGAGAGAGAGAGAGAGAGAGAGAGTGCTCCTAAAATTCTACCCAAAGAGGGACTATTTTAGCAAAGGCAGTGTTATGGTTGAATTCTCAGTTGTTAACTGCTGATTAAAATATTTCCCTGCAAACAAAAACTGTTTCAAAAGATTCCTTAAATGCCAAAATGGAAAAAATTCAGTAGTCACCTATAAGCAGAATTTGCTCACTCCCACTATCAAAGCCTTCCATTTCAATAAGAAATTGGGTCTTGAATCGTCTATATGATTCATATTCACCTTCTTTGCGCTGCAACCATACAGAAGTTCTTAGAAGAATATCTTTCTCCACAAGCAAGACAAAGTGAACAATAGTCTTAAGGAAAACCCGATGTAGTCTAATAGACCACACAAATGGTCCACCGTACCAGATGTATATTGTAATGTCAGTATAAACTGCACATCGTAAATTTAACCTTGACGTTGGTGACATCGAATATGCTGTGATCGAACTTTTTGTGTGATCATCGAATATTTATACATAGAAGCAAATACAGGTGATTTTTTTTTTTTAGCAAATAGCAACCAGTCAATGTGAATTATGTGCTTGATAAGTATGGAACTCGGTACAACATAGGTAGGGGCTAGCCCATGCCTCATAACTTCATGTTTCATTGTTAGTTCGAAGGTCAGAATCTAACATACCTTGGACAAAAGCGAATCTATTTCATCAACGAATATGACAGCCGGCTGACGACAATAGGCAACTCCAAAAAGTGCTCTCACTAGCTTTTCACTCTCACCGACCTACAATCACCAATTCACATTTAAGTACCTGAATATAAGGCTGGCTTGCTTGTGTAAAATTTAAGTTTTTTCCACATAATGAGCTACCAAGATGCATGTACAACAGGCAAACTTTGTCTACATTCCCATATACAATATTACACTTATATTTCTGGTACAAGAGGGAGGTGGACCATAATGAGAAGAAATGTTTCCAATAGTTCTTACTAGCTTCCTTCGATTTATAAAACATAGCACAACTATTCACAGGAATAAAATGTAATGACAACTATTAGTGTTCTATGAGATGTATGAAGAAGTCACTATCTATCAAATGGAAAGATCTTGATATATAGTATTTCTGTTGCATAATAGCAGCA